AACAGGCGCAGCCACTATGGAAAGCAGTATGGAGATTCCTTAAAAAATTAAGAATAGAAATACCATATGATCCAGCCATTCCACTGCTGAGTATTTATCCAAAGAACATGAAAACACAAATCTGTAAAGCTATATGCCCCCCACCCCATGTTCATTGTGGCATTACTCACAATAGTCAAGACTTAGAAACAACCTAAGTGCCCATCAAAAGATGAATGGATAAAGATGTGGTATATATACACAATGGAATAGTACTCAGCCATAAAAAGGATGAAATCTTGCTGTTTGCAACAACATGGATGGACTTGAAAGTATTATGCTAAGTGAAGTCAGAGGGAGAAAATCAAATACCATATGATCTCACTCATAAATAGAAGATAAAAATAACAACAACAACAAACAAACACTTGGATACACAGATTATATTGATGGTTACCAGAAGGGAAAGGGGGAGGGAAGAGGGTGAAAGGGGTGACTGGGCACATGTGTCTGTTGATGGATGTTAATTAGTCTTTGGGTGGTGAACATGATGTAATCTAACAGAAATCGAAGTATAATAATGCACACCTGAAATTTATATAATGTTATAAACCAATGTTACCTCAATTAAAAAAAAAGATTCCATTCTTTTTTATGGCTGAATAATATTTCATTGTGTGTGTGTGTGTGTATACACACACACACACACACACACACACACATATATATATATATCTCACATCTTCTTTATCCATTCATCCATTAATGAACACTTAGGTTTTTTCCACAACTTGGCTATTACAAATGCTGCAATGAACATAGGGGTGCATATATCTTTTCAAGCTAGTATTTTTGTTTTCTTCAGTTAAAGAGCTAGAATGGAATTGCTGGATCATATGGTAGTTCTATTTTTAATGTCTTCCATAGTGGTTGTACCAATTTACATTTCCACCAGCAGTGTACAAAGGTTCCGTCTTCTCCACATCCTTGCCAACACTTGTTATTTCTTGTCTTTTTGATAATAGCCATTCTAACATGTGTGAGGTGATATCTCATTGTGATTTTGATTTGCATATTTCCCTGATGATTAGTGATGTTGAGCATCTTTTCATGGACCTGTTGGCCATCTCTTCATCTTCTTTGGAAAAATGTCTATTCAGATCTTCTGCCCATTTTTTTTGGATTGTTTGGTTTTTGCTGTTGAGTTGTATGAGTTCTTTATATATTTTGAATATTAGCCCTTTATCAGATATATGATTTGCAAATATTTTCTCCCATTCAGTAGGTTGCCTTTTCATTTTGTTGATGGTTTCTTTTGCTGTGCAGAAGCTTTTTAGTGTGATGTAGTCCCACTTATTTATTTTTTCTTTTGTTGCTTTTGCTTTTGGTGTCAGATTATTATTATTCTTCTTTGTAAGAAAGATTGGCCCTGAGCTAACATCTGTTGCAAATCTTCCTCTTTTTGCTTGAGCAAAAATGTTGCTGAGCTAACATCTGTGCTGATCTTCCTCTATTTTATGTGGGACGCTGCCACAGCATGGCTTGACAAGTGGTGCTAGGTCTGCACCTGGGATCCAAAACTGTGAATGCCAGGCCGCTGAAGCAGAGCATGTGAACTTAGCCACTACACCACTGGGCCGGCCCATGGTGTCAGATTTAAAAGATCATTGCCATGACCAATGTCAATGAGCTTACCCTCTATGTTATCTCCTAGTTTTATGGTTTGAGGTCTTACATTCAAGTCTTTAATCCATTTTGAGTTAACTTTTGTGTATGGTGTAAGATAGTAGTCAAGTTTTATTCGTTTACAAGTGCCTGTCCAGTTTTCTCAAAACCATTTATTGAAGAGACTGTCCTTTCCCCATTGTGTATTCTTACCTCCTTTATTGTAAATTAATTGACCATATATAAGTGGGTTTATTTCTGGGCTCTCTAATCTGTTCCATTGATCAACATGTCTTTTTATGCCAATACCATACTGTTTCAATTACTATAGCTTTGTAATATAGCTTGAAAACAGGGAATGTGATGCTTCCAGCTTTGTTCCTCTTTCTCAAGATTGCTTTGGCTATTCGGGGTTTTTTGTGGTTCCACACAAATTTTAGGATTAGTTGTTCTATTTTTTTGAAAAATGCCATTGGAATTTTGATATGAATTGAATTGAATTTGGAGATTGCTTTGGGTAGTATGGACATTTTAACAATATTGATTCTTCCAATCCATGAGCATGGAATATCTTTCCATTTATTTGTATCTTCTTCAATTTCTTTCATTAATTGTCTTGTCATTCTTGATATACAGGTCTTTCACCTCCTTGGTTAAATTTATTCCGGGTATTTTATTCTTTTTTCAGGCAGTAGTAAATGGTATTGTTTTCTTTATTTCTCTTTCTGATAGTTTGTTATTAGTGTATAGAAATGCAACAGATTTCTGCATGTTGATTTTGTATCCTGGAACTTACTGAATTTGTTTATTAGTTCTAACAGTTCTTTTTTTTTTTTTTTTTTTTTTTAAGGAAGATTAGCCCTGAGCTAACATCTGCTGCCAATCCTCCTCTTTTTGCTGAGGAAGGCTGGCCCTGAGCTAACATCCGTGCCCATCTTCCTCTACTTTATATGTGGGATGCCTACCGCAGCATGGCTTGCCAAGCGGTGCGATGTCCGCACCCGGGATCCAAACCGGAGAACCCTGGGCCGCCGAATCAGAACGTGTGCACTTAACCACTGCGCCACCAGGCCGGCCCCAGTTCTAACAGTTTTTTGATAGAGTCTTTAGGGGTTTCCATATATAGTATCATGTCATCTGCAAATAGTGACAGTTCTACTTCTTCCTTTCCAATTTGGATGCCTTTTATTTCTTTTTCTTGCATAATTGTTCTGGCTAGTACTTCCAATACTGTGTTGAATGAAAGCGGTGAGAGTGGGCATCCTTGTCTTGTTCCTGATCTTAGAGGAAAGGCTTTTCAGCTTTTCACCATTGAGTATGATGTTGGCTGTGAGCTTGTCATATATGGCCTTTATTATGTTGAAGTACATTCCCTTTATACCTTCATAAGTATATGTTGAATTTTGTCAAGTGCTTTTTCTGCATCTATTGAGATGATCATATGATTTTTATTCCTCATTTTGTTAATGTGGTGTATCACATTGACTGATTTGCCAATGGTGAGCCATCTTTGCACCTGGAATAAATCCCACTTGATCATGGTGTATGATCCTTTCAATGTATTGTTGAATTCAGTTTGCTAATATTTTGTTGAGGATTTCTGCATCTATGTTCATCAGGGATATTGGCCTGTCATTTTCTTTTCTTGTGGTGTCCTTGTCTAGTTTTGGTATCAGGGTAATTCTGGCCTCATAAACTGAGCTTGGAAGAGTTCTCTCCTCTTCTATTTTTTGGAAGAGTTAGAGAAAGATTGGTATTAATTTTTCTTTGGATGTTTGGTAGAGTTCACTGGTGAAGCCATCTAGTCCTTGACTTTTATTTGTTGGGAGGTTTTTGATTACTGATTCAATCTCCTTATTAGTAATTGGTCTGTTCAGACTTTCTATCTCCTCATGATCCAGTCTTGGTAGGTTATATATTTCTAGGAATTTATCCATTTATTCTAGGTTGTCCAATTTGTTGGAGCATAACTGTTCATAGTAGTCTCTTATGATCCTTTTTATTTCTGTGGTATCATTTGTAATGTCTGTTCTTTCATTTCTAATTTTATTTATTGGAGTTCTGTCTTTTTTTCTTGGTAAGTCTAGCTAAAGGTTTGTCAATTTTGTTTATCTTTTCAAAGAACCAGCTCTTAGTTTCACTGATCTTCTCTATTGTCTTTTTAGTTTCTATTTCGTTTATTTCTGTTCTATTCTTTGTTATTTCCTTCCTTCTGTGAACTTTGGGCTTCTTTTGTTCTTCTTTTTCTGGTTCCTTAAGGTGTAGAGTGAGGTTGTTTATTTGAGACTTTTCTCTTTTTTTGAGGTAGCCATTTATCCCTATGAACTTCTCTCTTAGAACTGCTTTTGCTGCATCCCACAAGTTTTTTTCTTTTTTTTTCTTTTCTTTTTTTTGAGGAAGATTAGCCCTGAGCTAACATCTGCCACCAATCCTCCTCTTTTTTGCTGAGGAAGACTGGTGAGCTATCATCTGTGCCCATCTTTCCTCTACTTTATATGTAGGATGCCTGCCACAGCATGGCTTGACAAGCAGTGTGTAGGTCCACACCCGGGATCTGAACCAGCGAACCCCAGGCTGCCAAAGCAGAATGTGCGAACTTAATCGCTGTGTCACTGGGCCGGCCCCAAGTTTTTTTTTTTTAAAGATTGGTACCTGAGCTAACATCTGTTGCTGATCTTTTTTTTTTTTCTTTTCCCCAAAGCCCCAGTACATAGTTGTATATTCCAGTTGTGGGTCCTTCTAGTTCTGCTATGTGGGACACCACCTCAGCATGGTTTGATGACTGGTGCTAGGTCCGCCCCCAGGAACCAAACTGGCAAAACCCTAGTCTGCTGAAGTGCAGCAAGTAAACTTAACCCATGCAGCTGGCCCCCTGCATTCCACAAATTTCTGTACATTATATTTCCAGTTTTCTTTGTTTCAAGATATTTTTTATTTCTCTTTTAATTTCTTCTTTGACCCATTGGTTGTTCACAAGTGAACACAAGTCATTTTAATCCATTTGCAACTTAGCTATTGTTTCATATACAGCTCTGGCTGATTACACCTTATTTGGATGAAAACTTCAAGTTTTAACTTGTGAATACAGACTGTTTTCAGTGAGCAGCATAAAGAATATCATGAGTTTCTAAAAATGTAGGTGATCTTGTCAATATACCAGTAAAGGACAGACCTGGGCAGAAGGAAGCCTTTTGTCATAAAAATTCATGCATCTAGGACTCTGTTTCCTTCATAATACACTTCAGGAAGCACCATACATAAAAAGAGAGTCTGACCCTGGGTTTATTTAAAAAATAAAATAAATCAAAACCAAACAAATAAAAAACTCATAACCAAAATAAAGCCCCAAATCTTACCTCTAGTGTCTTATCCAATTTGGCAGCTAGCCTTCCAATTTCATACAATAGCTGGGGGCTGATGGGAATCTCAGCTATGGGTCTTCCTGGGAGGTAAGTCAGCAGCCTCACCAAGTAGTTTTTGATTTCAGAGCCACTATCTAGATGGATGGAATGATAGATCTTGTCAACTATTCTTGAAAAAGATAATTAGAGGCCATTCTGCCTTTGCAATTATTATTGCAAAGAATAAGAAAAATTACAGAACAAGAGAAAAAAATGTGCTAACCTAAAACAAGTCAGCAGGATTCTCTGATGCAGGGCTGAGTGGACTGAGCAAAGCAGGTAGAACAGACAAATCTTAGAACATTGGAACTGGCCATTTATATACCAACAAAATTATAAACCCAACTCTGCAAGCCTCAGCTCTAAACATAAATTACCCTCTCTGGTAAATGAATGCCTAAAACACTTTTTTATAAGTTTACAATTGATGAAAGTGTGATGTAAAGAAATGAGTGTTTCAGAATCACAGGCTTCTTCAGGGACAAACTGGGGAACAGCCAGTTTGCAACACAGGAAAAGAACTACTTCTCAGGGACTGTAATGGGCCTCAGTTGTTTGGAGCAATGCAAATTAAGGAAGAATGGGTGACCAATTAAGACAGAAAAAGAATCAAGGTTTCAAACCTTTAAAAAACCCCAAGGAATTGATTTAAGGCTGCTGTTTAGAGAATCCTATTAGGTATATCTTAGCATATCAGCATTTAGAGGTGCAAGGGACCAAGTCTCACAGATGCGGACTCAAACGCTTAGGAATGTAAGTGGTGTGCCCAAGGTCACATATACAAGAATGACAGAGCTGGGATCTAAAATTCCTGATTTCTAGTTCTGTGTTCTTTCTACTATACCACAGCACCAAAATATACAGCTGATCTAACAACAAAAAACATTAATTTTTCTGCTTAAAAAAAAGTTCTCCTAATTTCCACCTGTCCCCTTAGTTACTCCTCCATCAGGCCCTTTCTAAGCAGAAGCGTTACACAAGATCCCAGCTCTACGCACTTCTGAATCAGAGCCCCAGTCTCCACTCTGGTAATGCTGTGGCTTCTCCTAGCAGCTGAAAAAATAACCACATCTACACTTGGAACTATGGACATGTTCTTGATATTTCTACGTGTAGCCAAAATGCAGTAATTAATGTACATGGACAGGCGATGACTGGTGAGTTGATGGTCTCTTACCTACAGACATGAGAGAGGTTATGTTGTCTCCTTTAGTACGACACACAGAGGCTGTCGGAAATCCAGCTGCTCTCAGAAACATGATGATGTGACTCTGCACTTCAATCAGGTCTGGAGTTTTGCTAGACTTAGTATTGCTTATTTTGAGGACATATTCAGTTGGGCCATCTGTAGTGTCTTTGGTTCTTGAAATGCATACATGAAAGTTTTGGTCATCATAGCTAGGAAGTGGCTGGATCTTGAAAACTTTTAACCCAAATACTGATTCCACTAATGCCGAGGCTTGTACCTCACTGAAAGTGGGTTTGGCAAGAGCCTGTGATTGCTGATCATCTCCACTTGACATTATGTCTAGGGGAAACAAACAAATCTGAAAGGGGACATATAATGAATATATTTATTTAAACGTTTTTTCTTAAGACAGGCCAGTAATGTTTCTCAGCATTGATTCTGTATTTCTTTTGAATAATTTTCACTCATAAAGTTAAAAAAAACCAAATCAGTAAATGAGATAAAGAAGTAGATGTTTTGACAGGTCAATAAAAACCCTTATACTATAAATTATTTCTAAACTTTCCTCACAAACTGAAGGTATGTTTCCAGGGACAGAATACAGACCAGGAAAGCACCTCGGTATCATCTAGCTTGATTCCTCCCCCTCGCCCCCAGCCATCAACTTTATTTACAGGGGAAATTTAGGTCCTGAGAGGTTAAGTGCCTTACACAAACCACATACCAAGTTACAGTAAGAACTCAGTTCTCTAGACTATGTTTACATCCTTTTGACTACATTACCATCAGTACAGTGATCTTACTTTTCTATCCATAAGTTTTATTAAATTATCAGGACCATCATCTAGCTCATCATGTGTTCTTCAAATATAAAAGTGTGGACTGATGTGCAAAGCACATCATCCTGTGAGGCACTATGGGAAATATGAAGATGAGCTTAGAGGGCTCTGTTACATCTGAGAAGTCAAATCAATCACAGGTATTCTAAACAATAAAAAACCTGAAAAGCTTTTCAAAACAAGAAGTTATAAGGCAGTAGGTAATAAACTGATAGAATGCCAAAGAAAACCCTGAATTAAGTATAAACTTGAAATGACTGAATTAACACTGAAGTGACTGAGGTTACCTTAAATTGTAAAGAATAGGTCTTCTATTGCTAAAAGGAATAGGGGCTTGAAATAAAAATTAAGGTCAGTTACAAAATATAAAGTTACATCTGCGTTTATGACATATGAAATTAATATCTATTGAAACTATGATAGAAATTCAGAGAGGAGAGAGATTACTAAGCATAAGGAAAGGTATTATTGAGAAGAGGGATTTGAATCGAGTTGTTGAGTATGACTTGGATAGACAGGGTGGGGAGACTGTTTCTTCCCCTTGGTAACGCCACCCTCTGCTACACATACCTGGTATATTTCCAGAGCACCTGGCAATGTAAGGCTTCTGAACATCCTTCAGGAACCAAATATTTAAGGTCTTTGCAATCTCAGCTCCCTCTTTTCCCAAAATAGTTTTATTCCAATTCTTCCTTCATACTAAATTGTAGATAATTAATAACATCTTGGGGTGGGTTGTATTTTAGGGGACAGTTTTGATTGCTGTTCAAGGGATGGAGTGTCATATAAAAAGAGTCTCATAAATACTTAGCTCTTGTTGATAGAAATCAGAACAGCTGTTGCTTCTGGCAGGGAGGGGGCATGAGGGAACTTTCTCGGAGGAAAATGTCCTATATTTTGACTAGGCTTTCATTACAAGGGTGTATAAATTTGTCAAAACTTGACTTAAAACTTAAGTAAGCATAAGATCTGTGAATCTTGCTGAATGTAAACTTTACCTAAAAGAAAAGTTAGCCCTTGCAAGAAATTGGCTAGGACAAGGAGGTGGAGGTGGGGTTTTAGGACTTTCTCAGAGCTTCCAAATCAGACCATATGCCTGTTAATGTCTAATCACTTCATATCTATGACAGCCAAAGTCCAACTTATTCCAGTGAGGGAAAGGAGATAAAATTCAGGGAGGTAAGCAAGAGCTCGCCTATACAACTCCTTCCCTGCCTCAGTCCCAACACTGTAGACTGCTGACTGAAGTGCTGATAAGAGTATAACCCTCAGATGCTGCTCCCCTCCCCCTCCTCGCCTTCCCTGATCCTTCTACCCAAAGCAATTTCTCCCACCTCTAAGCCAGCAGAGCCCCTTGTGTCATGGCTCGGTTTCCACCACCTGTTACAGTTCTTGCATAATTGACAATCACTTCTCATGTTCATTTTCTGATCAGAGCATTTGTTTTCAGAAGCAAATTGTCATTCAGATTTTGTTCACTAAAGAGATTGTTAAAAAGCCTGAATGAGGTTCAAAACAATCTTTGCACCTGAAACTTCTGGGAACCAATATATATCCTGTCACACTGTATTTGGGCTTAAGACTTTACATGGAATTTTAACATTCCTTCTGGAGATTTGTAAACTGGTGTAAGGCCAGTATTCAGACTGTAATATGAACTGAAGCTTTAAGTACAAGATGAAATCCTGGAGTTGTTTTTCAACTTCTAAAGCATTAAGAATGTCAGAATAATCCTGAATTTAATACTAATTGTAAGTTCTAAAGTTGGAAGGAACTGTAGAGGCAATTGGTAAAAGCCAATCTCCCTTCCGGTCTAAAAAATGTTCCTATAACATCCTTGAGTGGAGCTTATTAAGACTCTGCTTAAAGAGCCCTGTTTTTCAAAGCAGTTGAAAGCACTGTTAACAGCTGCAGCCATCAAAGACTGCCTGGAATAATAAAAAGTTGTGCTGGTTAAGTGTATTTCACCACAATGAAAAAAAATTGGAGAAAAAACAGTTGCCGTGCTGGGAGAAAAAAAGACATATTTTAGGTACAACTCTGCTACCTAGTCTCCGAAACTGTGGACTCGTTACATCTCCCTTTTAGAGGGAGCTGGACTAGATCACTTCTGAAAGTCCCTTGTAAATCTAACATTCTATACTTCTAAAGGTCTTTCTTTTTGAGCTTAAATTTGCCTTTTTTCTTTGTATACAGGAATTCTAGAGTGATGTCAGCAACATGGTGACGTGAGCTCACCTGGGAGTCTCTCCCCTCCAAACTACAACCAAAAAGAGCAACTGCTTTCCAACCAAAAAAAAAATCCTAATAACAGAAATCGTCAGAGACCCACAGCAGCCAAACGACGGAAGGTGGAGAGGCTGAAGCTGGCCTTGGAGGAGCTGGAATGGGGTAGGAGAGAACTTTGCTCCCTCCCCTAGAGACTGGGATCACTGCCACTGGTGAGGGAAGGAGCGGGGGAGGGGCCGTGCATCAGGGGATCGTACAGGACTCCCACCTCCCGAGCAGCGGAAACCCTCTAACAGGGGAAATCTTTCCCATGGGGGAGCCCCAGCAAGCCAGGGCCCCGGAGACCAGAAAGTGAGAGCTGATCCCATACGGGTCTCCTGAGAAAGTGCCCCTCCTCCCCCAACCCATGCTGGGCGCTGCCATCTTGGCTGAAGGTGCTGGGCTCAGAGAACAAGCCTCTCGACCCACATCTAGTGGCCACAGGCTGTAATTGCAGCCGAATAACAGCATCATGCGCAAAAACCACTCCTCTACCATCCAGCAATTTATAAAAGCTCCAGTCCAAAAGGAAAACAATAAAAATACAGAAGTAGGTCCTGAGGGCTTGGAAATGGGTAAACTAAGTAAAGAGGAGTTCAAAATGGCTATCCTCAAAATATTCAATGAGGTAAAGGGAAATATAGAGAAACAAGTGAACGAGTTCTGGAGTTACTTCACAAAAGAGACTGAAATTATAAAGCAGAATCAGTTAGAAATACTAGAGATGAAAAATAGAATGGATCAGATAAAACAGAATACGGATTCCCTGAATGCCCGTGTAGACACCATAGATGAGAAAATTAGCATAATCCAAGATAGACAGGCTGAATGGCTCCAGAGGAAGAAAGAGAACTAAGAATTAAAAAAACTGAAGAAAATCTCAGAGAAATAGCTGACTCAATGAGAAAATGCAACTTAAGAATCATCAGAATTCCTGAGGGTGTGGAAAAGGAAAATGGAGCAGAAAGTGTGCTCAACTAAATAATAGAAGAGAACTTCCCAAATCTAGGGATTGAGAAAGAAATGTGTGTGGAGAAAGCTTTCAGATCTCCTAGATTTCTCAGTGCAAAAAGACCTACGACAAAGCATATAGTAGTAAAAATAGCAAAAATGAATGACAAAGAAAGAATACTCAGGGCAGCAAGGCAGAAGAAAATAACCTACAAAGGAACCCCCATCAGACTTTCAGCGGATTTCTCTACAGAAACCTTGCAAGCTAGGAGAGATTGGAGTGACATATTCATAACTTTAAAGGATAAAAATCTTCAGCCAAGAATACTCTATCCAGCAAAAATATCCTTCAGATATGAGGGAGAAATTAAATCTTGTCCAGACAAACAAAAGCTGAGGGACTTCGTAGTCACATGACCTCCACTACAAGATATCCTCAAGAAGGCTCTCATACCTGAAAAAAGAAAAAAGGGAGTAAGGGGTCACAAAACACAGAGTTGGGAGACAAATAGAATCTGAATAGGATAGCAAATATTGAACTATAGCATTAGGATAAAGGGAAGGAAATCACCAAAGCAAAGACAATCTTATCACTCTAACCACAAACTCACAACACAAGTTGGAATAAGAGATGAAAATAATAATTTAGGAGGGGAGGAGGAAAGGGACTGAAACAGTCTAGGCTAAGGAAGTAAGAGACCACCAGAAAATGGACTATGTTATACACGAGATTCTGAATACAAACTTCAGGGTAGCCACTAAACTAAAAAACAGAACAGAGACACCAAACATAAATAAGGAAAAGTCTAAGAAACCCAGCATAAGAAATTGCAGAAGTCAATGAGTAGGCTAAAACACACAGGACAAGAAACAAAGGAAACACAGGAAAACTGGAAAACGAGCAACAGAATGACAGCATGAAGCCCTCATGCATCAATACTCACCCTCAATGTAAACGTATTGAACTCTCCAATAAAAAGACAAAGAGTGGCAAAATGGATTAAAGAACAAGATCCAACAATTTGTTGCCTCCAGGAAACACACCTCACCTCCAAGGACAAACACAGGCTCAGAGTGAAGGGGTGGAAGACAATACTCCAAGCTAATAGCAAACAAAAGAAAGCAGGTGTCGCAATACTTATATCAGACAAAACAGACTTCAAGATAAGGCAGGTAAAGAGAGACACAGAGGGCCAATATATAATGATCAAAGGGACACTTCATCAAGAAGAAACAATGCTTATAAATATCTATGCACCCAACACAGGAGCACCAAAGTTCATAAAGCAACTATTAACAA